TCCAAGCAAGTAAGCTTATAAATGCAAGCCATTACCCATAATTCTCTTAGCATGCTCTTCAACAGTGGACCCACATGGTACGGTAAGGATTATAAAGGTCTTAAATACAGATAGAGTACAACGCCTTGCTCTCAGGCAACATACTGTTCAGATATTAAGCCAGTTCAATTCAGTTCATTTCTGTTCAGTACCCCAAAACCCTGTTACCAACACCAGTAAATCATTGCTGGACTCACTTTTGCTAAAACATTGATCAAATGAATAGTAGTGTATTTTATTCAAATGCTCTCATTTTAATTAAAATTGTCCTAGTGGAAATCTCAACGATTATGCAATAAGTCTTAGGTTAGAATATTTGCACATTGAGGCCATCACCTTTTATTTCTTCCAGTTAAATGCAGAACATCAAAAACACCAGCCTTCCAATCTCAAGCAAACGGTCAGAGAGAGAAAAAAAAAACTAACAAAAAAAACAAATAGAAACAAGTAAATCAAGATCTTCAAATATTTGCTACAGGTTACACAACCCTCAAGGTGCATATTTTAGTTAGGACAGGCTTTATACACAAAAACATCAGTAAATAAGACCAAAATAAGTCTGACAGCCTGAACCATTCGAGATATTGAGATGTTCAATCACTAACACCCGATTCCACATTACAGAAAGTGTTGAAAAGGCTAAAAAAAAATTCAATTATACCACATTATAATAAAAAAACGCGAAGGCAAATATATTCTGTTATAACATTTATATAAAATATAAATGAGCTATTATATAGAATATAAATATTATATAGAATATATAAGTTATAGATGCATGGTAGCAACCGGCAATATCGAATTCATGCACCATTCGAATCAGAAAGAAAGAAAAAAAGTATATACAGAGCTCTAAAGGCAACAAAAGCCAGAGGAAAAGAACACTACAACATTTTATTCATCCCTTTATGTACACAGTTGGAGGTAGAACTAATTGTTCTAAGTGCATCTACTATATTTAGGACCAAAATGAACACCAAGCCCTCAGTGTTTGCTTTTAGATTTTTGGGAGCAACACTGACAGACAGATTTGAAGCGGGAAACTCTAACAACCACATAAAATATTAAGGATACATTTAGTTTTCCCTAGCACTACTCGTGTGCAAAGGTTAGTGGGAAGTTTGGATCTAATAAAGATCATTTAAGAATAACACAGAGCATGATGTTATTGATATACTGTGCTGTTATTCATTTGATATCAACAGCAAAAACTGTTATGAAGAATATGTGCTAGCTGTGACGGGGTTATGACACAAGGTAGTCTGTATCAATACATATATTCTCCTCAACATCAATACACTAGCATTGATAATGATGCCACAGTGTTAAAATGCTCTTTGCCATCTAAGCTCAAAAAACACAATGTCAGAAAAAAATGCAAAAATTGATGCTTGTCTCTGGGGCAGTACTTTTAAAGGGACCGGTTTGTACGTTATCCACCCCTAATAGTTGTGTATTTGTACCTTAGAGTATTAATATGTGCATTTAAGGTACTACTATGAACCTTTTAGGGGTAAATATGGTGTCCCTTTGAGGGTACGTCCCAGTGACAAGCTATTGTACCCCTAAAGGTAAAATTTTTGAATTTGTTTTTTCTGAGAGTAAACCTCAAATTACACAAAAATGTTCCTCCTAACTCATAGCTTTACTTGGGAACTGCATTATAAAAATAACAGTGATTTAATCCTACAAAAGTAAGAACTCTGAAACAATACATGGAATTTAAAGACAAGAAAAGGTCAACAGCAAACTCAACAAAAATATATCTTGGGGACACAAGCAATAACTATCATCTAAGACCATACTGTAAGACCCAGCAGTCAATTCTCCACCTATTCAACACAAATAACAATCCACATACTGAACATCCAAATGTGGGGGGTGTTTCTACTTGGCATGTTGTACTTTTTATTTCAGGTTTGTTATTAATAGCATAGTGACGTTTAGCCAGGCTTGACTTTGACAGATCCGACTTCTTCACTTCAATGAAGACGCAAGAAACGCGAAATGTGGCAGAAAATCCACCACAACTAAAAGAACAAGTGTTACTGCAAATATCTGCAAGGCACTAATTTACAACTATCCGCTAATGTGAAGACACCCTGTTTTAGCAGCTCTCTGTGAGACTGAAACATTTCTAGAACTTGTTTCCTCAACTGAACCGTGTGCATCTGCCCAACAACTAATTCATGGAACAAGTCAGTAAATATAATAAAACATTAAATACAGGAGTTAAGTAATAAATACATTTTATTTTATATAAATATGTGGGCCCTTATTTCCAAATTGTCTGGGAAACGTAGGAAAGAATGAATGTACAATAATGACAACACCTGTTTACATTCATAGAACAAGCTGCCCTATTAAAATAATGGCATGTTTAATTTGAGAAACTGTAACATTGATACATTGGCAGCATCTATAGTGACGCGTTCTTTGATATGACTCGACGTGTGACTGTTAGCTTTGAACGGGGTGAGATTGCACGGTTTATACAAGGAGGACAGAATCATGGATTCCCCTCAGAAGCGTCCCGACACATGATCGATGCAGGTAGTTCCTGGTCCCTTTTTCATTTGATAGGTATGTTTTAACAGAGCTAATTACTTGCTAAATCGGTGTTTAATATAAAATTAGATTCTAAGCCCCAGCACCTCCCCAGCACTACAGAAAAAAACTTGGGTAATAAGCGAGATCAGTAGAGAGTGGCAATGTTGCCACCTGCCGCATTATTTGTTTTCATTAGTTTAATACCCCAGCGCAGTAAAACCTGTCATGATCATATCTAATGTTTGATCGATTTTAAACTTGAAGTGTTTTTGCCTCTATGTACAGCTATACAGACTGAAGCGATGCCACGCTGTGCGTTCTCGATGAAGGGGAGAGTAGTCGTCCGTGCTGTCCTCTCTCTCTCTCTCTCTCTCTCTCTCTCTCCTTCCTACAGTCTGCCCATACAGGTGGCTGTTCTGCTTCACTTGCGATCGTCGATGGTTTTAATGATTTAATGA